CGGGGGAGGGGGGGGAATTGTCATCGATTTTTCACGGCACCAGCGGGGACAAATGGGGGAAGAAAACCTGGCTGTGTTCAGGGTTTTGTTGTTTTCTTTCTGAGAAATGCGGGTGCCAGCCTGTGCGTGTTGCTCAGCACCTGCCCCTTTCCCTTCTGGTACTAGCTGTTACTCTTCTCCTGGGAATCACTTCAGTCATAATTTTTCTTTGGAACCTGTGTGACAGCATGGCTGGAGCTGAAGTTAGCTGGTAAAGCTAACTTACCAGCGACCAATTCCTGTGCCCAGTTGACAAGTGGCTGGCAATCTGGTAGCATCCTGAAACGAGCTTTCCTAGAAGGCTAATTTTTTTTTTTTCCCCCCCTAGACAATTGGAGCAGACTGTTCTTCCTAGATAGCTGGTTCTCAGTGCACATGTTCCTTCATGAAAATAGGATTTTTTTTTTTTAAGTGACAGAAGCAACAGTAGGCTCTTATTACACAGCTTGATGTGTTCCAAAGACCAATTTAATTTTGCCTGGGCAGGGATTTATCTTTTGTTGTCTTTTTCTGCTATGTGGAAACATGGTGCTTCCAAAAGATAAATTCAAAGGTGAAGGCCAACTTGTTTATTTTAGAAGTAACTTCCATTCAAAATGATGCTGATAATGGGGCAGCGAGCTTGTTTTGAACTATGTGTCCAGCAGATGTGCCTGAGATCTTGGAACATCCTGGTGGCTTAACGTAGCTGAATGTCTTGGCCTGTTGAGATACTGGGCTTTTCATCCTGTACTTAATGGGGATCATAAGGTTTGTGACCTATGTGAGTCCACCCCACCACAAGGTGTTGCCCATGAAAAAAGGTGATATCCGTCAGTCTGAATGAAGACTAATGATTTAAGGGTTGAGACTTTTTGCGTTCTTATTTGGTTTTTATTTTTTCTCTGTTAGTCACAATGGGAAACACAAGAAATTCCATGCTAGATGAATATAAGAAATAACAGCTATGAAGCAGGGCTGTAATTCCATTTGAGAATAGGCTGTGTTTTTTTCTGAGTGTTGTTGTTTTTTCCCAGCCGTTTAGTTAAAAAAAGTTAACATGCAAAACTTACAGTGTTCTGAGCATGTGGACTTATTCCCTTAAATGCCTGAGGGGTTTACAGCACTCTCCAGTACCTGTATGAATTCCGCTTTCATCAAAGCAGTAGATAGGTGTATATCACAAATAACAAATTACCTGCAAAACAACACTTGGCTGTAAAATAGTAACATTCATCTCTGCTACAACTACAGTTGTTTTCCAGTGTTGCATTATCACTAGTGAGCTGTGCGAGTGGCACACTTGCCGTTTGACATCAGCAGACCCGCTCAACTGCTTCATAGTTCCTGCCGGGTTGTGCAATACCCTGTGCGTTTTGGAAGCTTCCCTTCGTGCCAGAGGAGCCTGTAGGCTGTATAGCGTCTGCTTGTCATTCCTGGCTGGAAACGGCCGTAGGGCTGAAACGTGATCAGGTCACCAAAGTGTGCTTCCAAACAAGGCAAAATCAATTTGCCGATCATCTTGACCTGATTCATAAATACAGGAGATTAATCAGGATGATGATGGACTTGTGGTCTAGTCTGGGACGTTGAGTGAGGAAAATGTTTATTGGCTTTGCCCAGTATAGTGTTCCCCATGTTAATGCAGTGCCGAACGCACCAGAAATGGGCTGCTCTAGCAAGATGTATTGATGGCAAATCATGGGTTTAGTTGATTTGGTTTTGCAGTTGACCATCATTATAGATGATGATTTTTTTTTTCTCCATCAACTTGTGGAGAAAAACAGTCTTTATGAAGAATGTGTACATACGTGATAAATAGTATATGTTGGTTAAAAAGTGCAAGCTCTAAGTGGTCTCTGCATTCACCGGAAGATGAAACCAGTTGAATCATAGATATACACCAGTTAAATAATCTGTATACATTTTGTAGTATGGTACTATAAATGGAGGATATGTTGCTATTAGCACTAAGCCAGATGAATAATTCTTTTGAAGGTCTGGAATATCAATGATCCAATTGAAAATGTGTCAGCTGAGATGAGTCATGTGTTAGCCTCATTCAGTGACTAAGAAGTGGAACAGCCATCGATGTCCAAGCTGAGTCACAGCTTCTGCATATTTCATGAAATAATTTTTGATTGATAATGACAGAACACTTGAAATTGCTGTATTTGTTTGTATTGTAATTTGCAGTCTGCAGAACACTAGTATACATCTTGTTTGAAAGATTAGCCAAGTAGCTAGAACAAACTGAAGCAGTATTTCAAATGTGGTGTGTGAATAAGGAATGGCGTCCTGTAATTATCTCCCTTTATTTTTATTTTCTGTTATACTTATTTCTTCCTTGTGCCACTATACATGTGCATCATGAGGAATGAGGCAGAAATGACCTTTCTGACTGTGAGATAACAGCACTTTAAAAAAACTGGTATCAGATAAAAAAAATCCTGAGTATAGCAGAGTAGCAGACAGTGTATCAATTTTGTTCTTAAAGGCAGTCTTGTTCATATACTGTGAGCGTTTATGGATAAAAAGCATGAGAACTGATCATTTTAAACCTTTTTTTTTTTTTTTTTTTTTAAAGATTGTCAGGCAATTTGCTGGCCAGGGGTAAGAGGAAGGATTTTTAAGAATGTAAAACTCTGTGGTCCTCTTATTTGCTCTGTTTGTCTTTGTTTAACTTCAGTAATTAATTTCAGTGGAGACTTACAGTGAAATAAGAAAGACAGATCAAAAGCAGCACCTCTCCTAACCAAAGGGTGAAGGATGGTCTGCATGATTTGGTATTTTGCAGTGGAATGTATTGGGCGTCCTTGAGGGCATGGGACAGAGCAAAGAATACCAAGTTGGCCATTGCTGGTCTGATGGTGAAAGAAGTCCAGAATACAGCTTTCTAGCCACAGGACTTTTCACACTTTAAGGGGGGAAAAAAAAAAAAAAAAAAAAAAGGCAGCAAAACTAAACCACAAGTATAGAAAATAATACTCAAGATCCTCAAAATTGGTGTTAAGGCAGAGCATTTAGACTTAGAAAGTCAAATTCAAAGATACTTCCATGTTTGATAAACTCTGCCTCCAGAGATGCACAGGTAGTTCAGTCTATGCAGTTCACACCAATATCCCTGTTCTTTCACAGAAAGGTTCTTGCAGAACCCTGATGTCAATGTATTGATCTTGGTAATTCATATCCTTCCCTATCTTCATTTGCATCCAGCTCTTGATTTAGGATTAAAAACACACGACTGCAAAAAATTGTGCAATTTTTGTCACTGACTTACTTTGCATTTACACTTCTCCCTCTACATATGCCCTTACTTGAAGTTCAGGGGTCACTTTCTCTGGCTACACACCAGAACAAGCTATGCTGGTTTGTACTGATACAAGAAATAAATTGTGCTTATTCTCTAAAACCATCACTCTTCATGAGACCTGTTTTCTTGTGATGTTCTGGGCAACCAAACTTCCCTTTTCCTGTGTCTGCTATAGGTTGAATCTCAATGAAGGACTTGATAAGTTTGGGTGTCTTGGAGGTAGTTACTAAACTAGCCGTTCATCTTTGGGCCCTCCAGGTTATCCAAAGGAAAAAAAAAATGTTGCTGGTTTTACCATACAATGTAATTGTGCTTTCAGGTCTATTGGTGTTGATAAGGCTTGTTTGAATTTGGCAGGTAGAATAAAACAACTTATTTCTGTCCTTATTTGAAAGTGGAAAGAATGGAAACAAATGCATGTATAAGAGTGACAGAATATGACAACACATGGACATGCAGGAGATTAAAGATGAAGTGAATGAAGAAGAAACTCTGTAAAGTGACTAGAAATTATTAGAAATGCTAATCAACACTCTGTTCCAGCTAGTCATTAAAAATGATAAAAATAGGACTTAGGTATTACATACCTTATGTAGTGGGTTTTTTGCTCTCCTTATCACACCTGTTCAAGTATCAAGTCTTCTAAGTTCATTGTAATAGAGATGAACTCTCTATTTTATTTAATATTGCTGCCTTTTATTGAGGATAAAGACAGACAAAAGAGAAATGGAACTAGAACAGAACTGAATTGCTAGTATTATGTTGTTAGATGCAAAACTGAGTATATGCCCTTTCAAAAATTGTCTGACAAGTTATTTCATAGGAATGAATGTTTCTAGAAAGAGCCGCAATAGTGTATTTGTAATTTGTAAAATTCGTTTGCTGGTGAGGGGTCTGGAGCACAAGTCTTACGAGGAGTGGCTGAGGGAACTGGGGTTGTTCAGTCTGGAGAAGAGGAGGCTGAGGGGAGACCTTATCGCTCTCTACAGCTACCTGAAAGGGAGTTGTGGCGACGAGGGTGTTGGTCTCTTCTCCCAAGTAACTAGTGATAGGACGAGAGGCAATGGCCTCAAGTTGCACCAGGGGAGGTTTAGATTGGGTATTAGGAAAAATTTCTTCACTGAGACGGTGGTCAGGCATTGGAACAGGCTGCCCAGGGAGGTGGTGGAGTTGCCATCTCTGGAAGTGTTCAAAAAACATGTGGATGTGGCGCTTCAGGACATGGTTTATGGGACACGGTGGTGCTGGATTAATGATGGTTGGACTTGATGATCTTGAAGGTCCTTTCCAACCTTAGTGATTCTATGATTCTGTGATTAAATAGCTATGGTTTTTGCCATATCCACCTGTCTGCTTGTTGCTGACTTGTTATGACATCATGGTGCATGTTCCTGCACAGATTTCTGCATCACAGTTCTGCTTCCAGCTGCCCTTTCTTGCAGGAATGTAGAAAAAATTAACTTTTTGTAAAATGCTCATAGTACGGAAAGATGCATTCAAAAGATCATCACTGAAGTTAATGTAAACAGACAGTTGTTGCCACCGTGTATGTTGTGGGTGTCTGGTTTTGTGATGTGGGTTTTTTGTTGGTTCTCCCCCAATGATGCCTTGCAGGCATTTTGTTCTTTGGAATTTCTCTTTCATTATCAACATTACAGTGGTGATGTAGGAGGTGGTCTTAGCCACTGGATAAATGGCCTTTCCAAAATAATTTCAAAGCTTCCAACTTAATTCTGCCATACCCCTCCTAACCTTCCCTGTGGCTGATGTTATGAGCTTTGTGTATGAGCATGTTGAGGGTTTTCTTTGGTGGTGTTTTGGGTTTTTTTATTTTATTTTTCTCCTGAGTTTGTCAAGCTAGATTGTCAGAGTCAGGTTTTTCAAAAATAATGTATCATCTTGCTTTTACTGAGCTACAAGTTGTGGATTCAGGTTGCTGGTAAACCCTCCACCACAATTACAAATGTTTACAGTTGGTGGAATTTCCTTTTTTGTTCCCCCCAGTGACCTACATCTCATAAACGCTGTCTTGTCTTTGTGCTTACGCTGTGTGCCTACTCTGTCTTTTTGTTTGTTGGGTCTGTTCAATCTGTTTGTGTCTTGATTAGTATCTGACTAAAGCTCCATCTTATAAATACTTGTAATAAATTACATCAGTATACTTGTATAAATTACATCAGTAATTTTATGTATCTAAGCAGCTGCTGGTATCATATGTGTGAGTATATGATACTGGCTGTGTGCATAGCTTCCCAGAGTTGGGAGGGTTAGTATGCAGCACTTTCAGCTAACAATAAATACAGGGCTGTGTTTTGGAACAATGGATTAAGGCTGAAGCGTATTTTGGCTAGTTAGGAGTTTTAGAAGTTTTAACTATGTATGGCATTTGTGCCAGTAATCGGTATATACACATAGTAGATAAACAATATTTTTTTAGTTGTGGGGTTTTTTTGTGGCTGCCTAGCAAACCACAAAATTTTACTTAATAAGATTGAATAGTATATAAAAGACAAAGCAAAGATGCTTCAAGATTTTTGCAAAATTGAGGCTACAGGGGAAGACCTCTGTTTTTTCTGAGCAGCAACCTTGAGGGTTCCAAAGACCTAAATCACCTTTGCAAAACTGAACAAAAGTGATCCAGGAGGAACATTTTCAAAAAGAACAGCCTATCTGCTGCTTAATAAGTTCATGTCAAAGTTTGGACTCCTGCCTGGGATGAACACAAGATTAATTCCTGTAGTTACATCAGAGGTTAGGACTGTAACATCAGGTTGCTCCTGGCCCAAAACATCTATATAGTGTGTGAGGTTTGGGGTTTTCTTCTTAAATTGAACTGGGTTTACTTGCCGACTAGTAATGCATTCATAGAAATAGTGATGTTTCCCTGTACTGAATTTTTAAATGCCCTTTGTGAATTGCTGTGTGTGACTCCTAAACAGTCTTGTAAGCTTTGGGGCTAATGACAGATGTGGCTGCCTTGCATGTGTGTTCTTCTGCCCAAGGCTCGTACAGAACAGTGTAGTCAGTCTGTTCCATGCATGAAGAATGTGAATGTCTACTGGGTCCCTCTTATGCTGTGGAGCACAGCTTTTTAATGCTGCCCTGAAGTTCTCTGACTTTCCCATCACTCAGGTCAAGTTTTCTTTCTCTGATCTTTGGTAATAGCCTTGATTTATTTTTTTCCTGTGTTTTACAGTGGTTTGAACTTCATTGATTTGATGGTGCGACAGGGGAATATCGACAACCCTCCTAAGACACCACTTGTTCCTGGGTTTGAATGCTCTGGAATTGTAGAAGCTCTTGGAGATAGCGTGAAAGGATTTGAGGTAATATTTTCTTTATTTTCAGAGCAAGACTAAATAATCACCAGTTCACTGAGCATGTTGTCCCTAATCCCTTCTGGTCTGCCAGTGACAGCAGCCTTCACCACCGTGTTGAGATTTGAAAGGGTAATTTTTCCTTGTTGCTTCCCAAGCATGAGAATGACCTCTTGAATTAGTTTCTAAAGCCACCACTGTCATCTCCTTTAAATCCTGCCTGAAAAGTCACTTGTGCCATGTGCATATCATGATGGCTAAACAGGAACTGGAAAGCATGACTGATGTGCTTTAAGAAAGTAAAAGAAATTGGGTTGACTTGTGAAGTGTCTTCTTGGCCATGTTTGCTGTCATCGTTGCTCTGTTCCTGAAAACCCATGCGCTGCTGATTCTAGTTCCAACTTTTGACCTTGAATAACAAGACACCCATCTACAATAAGCATTGCTTCTTAAAACCATGTGCATTCATGAGACACAGATAAAATTGGGACTCTGATTGTGGGTATTTGACTTAACCTGATCACTTGGGAAAAGGATCTATTTCACCTAATGGAACAGTGATAAATGACAAATAGTTAATGTATATAATAAAGCTTTCATAACTGGTTGGCATTATGTACTCTTCGGTATCTCTTATTACATATAAACGGCATTCTGTCCTACCTGCTATTCCATTATTGATGTTAAACATCTATATTCCCTCGAATCTTGCACTTTATTTCCTAAGTAGATAGAAAAATTTTGAAATAAAAACTGAGTTAATGCACGTCAATCCTATCTTAGCTATTTGCTGAATCAGTCGTGTCATCAAGTAATTGCATTTTCTGAATTATTATTGTATCTTGATCTTAAGAAGGCAATTACCTAAAATACTTTTGTTTAAAGGTAACATTTTTGTTCTTCTAGAAAAGGTGTAAAATTTCTCAGCTGAGTCAAGATAATGGCCAATTTAGTTTCTGGTGGGGTCTCAGTGATTAGTTCTTCTTAGGACATTTCTCTGCCTTCCCCTTCCTGTCCCATCTCTGCCTTGAAACAAGTCATAATCTTCCAATGTTTTTTGTGATGAACAATAACTTCACTGTTTGAAAAACTCTACTACTTTGGTTGTTCGGCTCTAGTATGTGGTTTATAGCTACGCTCCATATCAAAGAATATGCTATGAAAGGACTGTAGAAAGTCTGTGCTCTAGATCAGCATTCTCAGTTCAAAAGTTCTTGCTGTTTTAAAGGGCATCATGAGGCTACAGCGTGTGGTGCTTGTTTGACTAACATTGCACCTGACTGAATATACTGGGTCTCTTTTAACATTATATCTTTGTTCTGACTATAGAACATGTTTGTGCTCTGCTGTACTCCCTGAAATTGAGAGAGGCTTGTGGTGTTTTATTTTTTGCATACAATCTGAACAGCCATGGTAGTGTTTGAGTGATCTAGAAGAAGGGTCAATACTCAGAATAACTGCTGTGCACAGGTATGAACCCATCAACAGGAGAACATACCATGAGGAAGATGCATGAACACTGTCAGTTTCTTTATGGATTTCTTGCACAGAACAGGAGCACACCAGATCCTTGTTTTCTCCTTGACATGCTGTTACCGCTGTCCATGACAGTGGCAGGAATGGTAGATTGCACCCTACATCTTCTGACCTTCTTTCCCTTTGTAGATCTCTTCCAGTTAACGTCGTGGGCATTTCATGCTCTGCAAAAATGTGTCTTACTGGCCTTTAGTCTGTACTACCTGAGATACTACACCTGAGAGATTGCCAGCCATTTATTGTCTTCATTTGCTGTGATGGTGTTATTGTATGACAAATGACAGCCTTGAATGGCAGTCCATTTTGACAGCAATGTGTAAGAACACATTTTACATTGAAAGAAAGTCTTTTTTGTGGAATAATAACGGAATAATAATTTTAAGGAATAATGCCTATTCCTTCTCCCATTAAAAGAAAAAGCTATTTTCTGCTGAGCTCAAATGTATCAGGCCTGCTCTCTCTAATTGTGGGGATGATTCTCGGAAGCTAAGGCCTAATCTGGCATGATGACTAGGCTCTGTATAGTGTTTGACTTAAAATATGGTATTTATTATTACTAAGAAATCCCTTGGGAATTGCCAAGAGAGACTTCTCTGCATTCTGTCTGGTAATCATTTATGTTTGTTTGAAAGGATATAGGACATACTAACATCTTCACTAATTAATCCTAGCAGACTTCAGATTTTAGACCCTTCTCTAACAGCAAAAGGGAACCACAGAGTGGTTACCAGTGAGGCATTGTTAATTTGAATGTGTTTTTCAAAAGGAGGCGTCATTTCAGTGAAATTGGAATGACAGTTCTGTTTCAGCATCCTCATTCTAAGGGACAAACCCTTCAGAACTGTCAGCAGCACTTCAGCTTTTAGCAAACCCACAACATCCCAAAGCCAAAGTGATGACAAGTACTCGGGAGACCAAAATGTGCTTGGTCTGAAGGTAACTGTGTTGTTCTTTAGTCCATTGCTGTGGAATATAGTTGAAATATTCTGAGAACAACCTGTAATATTTCTAAAGCATTAGTGGGTATCAGTAGAATGTAAGCTAGAGAATATCAGGCAGATAAGCAAAGGTATTTTAGAGGGACAGCTGCTGTTAGTTTTGATTAAAACATGAAGTCCTGAAGTTTGATGCTGTTCCTGTCTTATTACTTATACTGTGGCTCCATTGAAGAGTGCCTTTCATGGTTAAGGATGCTATTTTTGTTGGTATATTATAGAACGGCAAAGAGGTCTAAGACAAGGTAAAAGATACATAGGGGCTGCTGTTGACAAGCCATTATTGAGAGTTTGTAAGAGTCGTGCCTATAAAGGCTTTAATATATATTGGCCAAACATTTGCTCATGGTGACTCTCCCTAGTAGCCCCAGCAGACCAATTTCTACTTCTATGCTGGTGTTGCTTTCCAATATGACTGTACCCCTGCAGGAACCTCAGAGCTCCAGTTACCTTGGTATTATTCTTGTCCATCTGTGGGGAGTCACTATCTCCATTTTAAAAACCTGAAACTGCAATGAAGGTCATTATACAAACGTATGAATTTGATGTGCCTGGACCCCTGGAAAGTTCCTAGGAGCAACCGACTGTATCTAATATTAGCATTAAATCTTTATTTCTCCATAGTGAAGTAGCATTTCACTACTATACGTTTTCCCAAAAAATTGAGTAGATAAATGTTGCATTCAAAGGGAATATTTCATTGCTCCTTTAAATCCTGTCAAATTCACTTTGTAGGCTTGGTAATGCCTCAGAATCCAGAGGCATATTTTTGAGGTGGCTTGTTTGAAGTTGCAGGATCAAATTCTGCTCTGATGCGTGGCTGTAGAAATGACAGTCGTGGAAATGTATTGGTAGAATCAGTTATTAAGATACAGAGTGGATACAGATGGTGTGATCTTGTAAATGAGTGGTTTCCAAGTCCTTTCATGTGTTCTATCTACCAGAGCACAAGGCCTCCCCTTCTCAATCCACAGAGAGGAAAAGTAGCTCTACGTTAGCATGAAGACTGAGAAAGCAAAGTGAAAATTATCTTAGGTGTAATTTTGTTTATGCCATGTATCTCAATATAATATTTTTTCCTTTTTTTCTTTTTTTTTCTTCCTGTAAGAAAATTTCCTGGTTATTAGTAAGAATGCTGTTTTTTATTGCTTTACAGCCTCATTTGTTATTTAGGAGCTCTGCTAGCAAAATACGATCTGTATTAGTGATGATGGAATACTGCTCCATCAGAGAAGCAATGTAGCAAAAAAGGTGGCTTTAACTTTGTTTGGATATTTTTGTGAAATTCAGCTTTTTAAATAAATACAGTTGAAAAATGGTAAAAGCCCAAAGTTGAGCAGCTTAACTGCTATTTTGCCAAACATGTGGAGCACCATTATCTTCACCATCAGTCAGTGACCCACAGCTTGAACAGCAGAGTTGCAGGTCTTACAATTTGCTTTCTACAGTCTCAATTGCAGCCATATCGGTAACGTTGTTTTCTTCCTTGTTTGTAGATTGGAGACAGAGTCATGGCTTTTGTAAACTACAATGCATGGGCTGAAGTAGTATGTACCCCAGTAGAATTTGTCTACAAGATCCCAGATGACATGAGTTTTTCTGAAGCTGCTGCGTTTCCCATGAACTTTGTAACTGCCTACATGATGCTCTTTGAAGTTGCTAACCTAAGAGAAGGCATGTCTGTGCTGGTTCACTCGGCAGGAGGTGGGGTGGTAAGTTGGAACTTCTCTTACTTTCCTGTCACCAAGTAACTGAAGCACTCTGATGGATCTTGAGTTCTGAAATGAGCCAGACTCCGCAGTTTGATTTGGTATCGGACTTGCCTATGTGAGGCATTGCGGTGGGAGGAACTGCGTCTGTTTTCCCATCAAAATGCTGATGTGAACAGTTGGCAGGAGCTTCTGGTGAAATAAAAATGTTCTGACAATAAACTCTACCCAAAGACCCCTCCAAAATCCTCTAATCGGTTGTCAGAGATCATGGAGCAAGTGTTGTCCCAAACATTGCATTCTTGAGCCTATGCACCTTGTACTTCTGTGTAAAAGAAGGCTTTAATGAAAGGAATAAATAAATCAACTCCCTGCACAAGATGTTCGTAGGTAACCATAATCCTCCTTGCAGTAAATGGCCCTCTTGGAATATTCCTGCAAATACTGTGTGTGAGTATGTGTGTCATGCTTTCTCTGTGAAAGACTTTTTTTTTTTTTTTTCCCTTTGTTATAGAGATATTGAAAGCAATGAAAAGCATTATCATGCCAACCCTGAGGAAAATATACAAATGCTGAACTTGAGTCAGTGGTGGCTGCAAGCATGTCATGGTTTGGATCATTAGTAAGGAGGCATTGCGTTGCATAAGCAAAGCAACAGTAGGATGAATTCAATGAAATAGCAGGCCACACAATGAAATAAAAAGTCAGCATTTTGTGTTACCAGTTCCTTGAACTATCTTTTCGGAAAATCTCTCTCCTTTGGAAAATATTTAAGCTTGTGCAAAATATTAAGATACTGACAAGAGAGTTTGTTTACATTTGAAATTATGCAGTCCTTTTCCATAAGACAGATTTTTTTATGACCTGAGAACATTAACAGATCTCAGCCTTTCAAATTGGGGTACCTCTTCTGTTTTTGTGTTATACCTTATTTATGCTAAATTAATATTCTGTTGTCTACTGAGGTCTGGTGGGCAGCCTCAAACACCTTATCCCTAATTCTGTGCCCTTAGACCTTCTTTCAGGGTCTTATACAAAAGTGAGCTGTAATCAAAGGAATAAATTCATGAGTTCCCTGTACAAACTATTTTTAACTAACGATAATCCTACTTGCAGTAAATGGTCCTCTTGGAATACTTCTGGAAATGAATGGAATTTATAATCTTATTATGCTTCGGCACAGTACAACCTAGAGCGTTATGGCTGACTTTATTGTTCTTTAATATTAAATCTTTTCATGTGGAATTTAGGCCTGTTAAAGCAATGTGAGGCCACACGTTCAGGGGGAATGTATATTCTACAGGAATCGAAGGCTCAACTTTAGCTGTAAGGCCATTTGCCCAGCTGACACTATACAGACGGAGGCTGAGCATACCGAATTAGCACAACACCCAAAAGCAATCCCTGCGCATATGCATGTGTGAGAAAATGAACTCCTCCTTATTAAGATAAAGCATCCTTGCTAAATTTCTTTATTTCTCTTCCTTTTTCTTGCCTGACTTGCCTCGGTTATTTCTTCCTTCTCTTCCTGGAGCACTGTTAATGCTCTACCAACCTCCATGTAGTTGTGTTCAGTAGCATCCAACCTCTGTGCTGGGCTGCTCTGTAAGGAGCTGCTGGCTTCCTCTCTCATCACAGATGCTCAATGAGCAGCTTTTGCCTGGTCCTCTGCCATGACTGCTTGTGGACCTCTGAGAGAAGCTAAAGGAAGGATGGGTCCTTGCTGGCTGCTGGGAGAGCAAGGAGGAACCAGATCCATCACATGCTAAGTAGTTAAATAAAACAGTTTCCAAAGGAAAGACCAGAGATGCAGGAAGAACAGCCAAGTTGACCAAAAAGTGACATAGGTCTGTGTATGATCCAGGGGGGACTGTGCCTAAGAGGGAGAAAGGGGCTGGTAGGCCTACAAGGCAGGATGCTGATCACTGTGTCTCCGGGGAGAAAGTCTCATGCAGCCTGCTGTTCCTTGTAAGGGAAGGGCACGTCTAGCTAGAATTGGGTAGGAAGGACTTCTCCCATCGCTTGATGGGTCATACAGGTGAAATATCATTCTGCAGACACATGGAATTTTTTCCTTTCTGTTAACGAGACATAATGATTTCAGAGGGGTCTGCATTGCTCTTTAAACCACTCTAAGAATCTGACTATTAATACTTGGAAGAGTTTAACAGCCTCAATCAAACAAATCACTTTCACAAAGTTCTTAGTTAATAAACCAGAAAACTGGCACTGAAATCGCTATGGGAAGAGGTATTTTTTTGTGCTGTTGCTTTAATAGATAGAAGGCCTATTCCCACTTTCAGCAAGTAGGAAACCTGTCCAATTTGTTTCTAAATGTCATAGAAATTCCAGAATGCTTGAATGAGACAATAGGCTCCCTGTGGGACTAGAAGTTTGTAATTGTTCCTTTCTCATTATGCAAGATCATTATTTTAGCTGCCTCAGGCAGTTTATGAAAAAGAACTTGTTGCTTCAAAACTGTTTGTGAGCTTCTTTGTTCTGGCTCCCCAGTCTGCTTTAGGAGGATCCTGCAGCTTTTTCAATAAATTGAGTCTGGGAAAATTCTCTAGGACCTTTGCTTATGTTTTGCCTCAGTTTATTTATGTGGCCCTATTTTTGGTAGTGAGGTAACTATAGCAATTTCTTCCAATCTATGCCTGGGGTATAATTAGTATGTGACACTATCCCTTAATGTCTGACAGGATGCTTTAGATAAGTCAGTTTACTTATTTCCAGAAGTTTCAGGGGACATCAGAAGATGATGTAAAGAAAAAAAGGAAATGTACCAAGATAATTTACCTTGAAAAAAGACTCATGTACCTGTGTCTGTTACAGAGACTTGAATCCTGTTCCACATACCAAATGAGTACCCTCCCTGCCACCCACTGAGTGGCAGGGCGTCATACGATCTTCCCAGTTCATGGTAGGAAACATGGCTAGTTGTAGGGAAGCACCTTGTCTCTCTGAACCAGGAGGAGAGGTGGACACTCACAAACTCTGCTTCTGACATTGTTGGTGTATTGTAGCCTTCCATCTGAAGAGGAGGACCTGCTGCAGTGCTTTAGAAAGTGGGTTTGAAAGGAAGGATTGTACTTGCTTTTGTTTCCTAGCCAGCTTGTTGATTTTGATGGTTTGGAAAGGGGCTACTTTGGGGCTTGGTTTGGTTTTCCTGCCTCTTTTTTTTTTTTTTTTTTTTTTTTTTTTTTTAATTCCCCTCTTGAGATGGGGCAGTTAAGAGAGACTGACTCTCACTGCTCAACCTGGGCAGTGAGGTAGGCTGGAGAAACTTTAGGGGCCCTTGTGGTACAGGCTTACAGTTGCATTGCATGATTCAATCAAACTTTGATGAGAAATTAAGACTTTGCAAAGCATTCTGTTATCATTGCACGAGCTGCTGCTGACCAAGATCTAACAAGCGCAAGGGTTGTCATACGCACTTTCAGGCCTCTGCTTGGCAGGATGCTGAACGCTTCTGCTTAAACTGTTATATTGAGTAGCAGGGCGGCTCAATAATTTACAAAAGATACAATTGTGTAAGTTTAAATGCTTAAAGCTACGGAAATGTTAAGTGCCCTTCTGAACTGATTGGTAAAATAAGGAGAAAGTCAGCTAACACTGAACTTCAAAAACTTTCTATTTTCCACGTATAGAAACTAATGCTCAGAAATACAAGTTTGCAAGAACATACGACTTACTGTGGGACATATATTGGCCTCTCGTAACTGTAATTTATGTTTGAAATAACTGTAAGACAATGGTAGAGTAGCTCCCTTCACAAATATACTCCCACGTCTTCTCTCCGCGTCCCCCCAAGTGAAGCAAAGTGGCAACTGAAGAAAATACACTGAGAAAACTGAGCAGTAGCGTGCACCCCGCTGTGACTGATCTGCTGTATGAAGCAATTAGTTCTTTAAAATGGTGACTGTTTAAGTCAGTGCGTTCAGTGCAAGCCACAGCACAGGCTTGTACAAGATTATAAAGTTGCTCTTAAAATTATTAATGTAAACTGTACCCTGGATTAGTTGAATTACTGTAAATACAGGACTGTTGTATTAAAAAAAAAAAAAAAAGGGCAAAAAACTTTAGGCTCATCTCTTCTAGCCTTGATAAAGCCAGTCTCTATCTCTAGCATCTCCCTGGAAAATGAATTCTTTCAGGGATTTAGATTTGTGAGAGACAGCCATTATGCCCATTTACTTGTTTGTTTGCTCTTTATGTACTTCCTATTCTGAATATTTAGAGCACAAAACTTTGGTCATTTACCAAGATTGTGTAAACACTTTAATTTCATCGCTTAACCCCTCAGACGCAAGGCAGAATTATTAGCCAATTCTTTAGTATTTTGATTTTACAGGTGCTAAAATTAAGCTGCTTTTCACGCAGGAGCATCTATTGTTATCCTGAAGCTGTGATCTGACCTTCCCTTTCAGGCTTAGCAGCAGAGGAAGTGCAAGCAGAGTAAGTTAGAAATGCAGCTCCCATGTTTGAATTTGAAGGGTAAAACTGACTTGGCAACAGATTTAGGTCATCCTGGCAGGATTGGTTACTGCTTGGCAGGAGCCCTCTTTTTGTGTCTCCCCTGCATAAATTGCAAATATTTGAGGATGTGTTCCAAACTGAATCACTGAAGTGGTGATGTTATATCTGACAAAGAACTGGCACTCTGTAGTAAATCTAGTCACCTGCTATCACAGGCAGTGTATAGGAACCCTTTGTAGAGAATTATTAAATTTCTTCTTAAAAAAACCCAAAAAACAAAAAACAAAAAAAACACAACCAGTGTGTTTATCCCTTCAAATTCTTTGTGCTCTGTCTTACTCGGTAAGAAATCTTTCTCAATTTCCAGACTATTTGTGGCCGGTTAATATATCCTTGTTATTCTGCTGGTGTCCGTTAATTAAAATTAGCTACTCTTTCCTCCTGGGGCACTTCACAGAATCACAGAATCACTAGGTTGGAAAGGACCTTCAAGATCATCAAGTCCAACCATTAATCCAGCGCCA